TATATATACTGTAGTTATAATTAAAATAGCTCTTTTCTCATTGCAATTTTAACCGCAAATTTTTCAGTATTGTGATATGATAGAAAAATTTGAAGGGCGAATCATATACATCGTCAAAATATTGAAGGAAATAATTACTCTCTTTCTGTTTCTTTTTTTAAATTGTGTGATTAGCCATCTAAAGATAAACACGTACGTGTTGTTGTTAAGCTGAAATAACTTTGGTTTATTATTTTTACTTTCGATATCGAAAAAACTTATTTCTGTGATAAAATATTGGTCAGTAACTTTTCTAGAGTAACTTTTTTTTCTACGAATTAACTTTTTTATAGAAATTCTTATATAGGAAGAAATATTTGATATTTTCGTACTATTTTATTAATATCCAGAGCATAAATTCGATTAGCTGATTTTCTTCGTAAATCACCTTCGATTACTAACGTCAATTATCATAGAAAATGCTATTGACGTACAACTATAATAATACTTGTTAGGCTGGTCATTAATTCGATGGACATAAAGTTACATTAAGTGTTCAAGGATATTCATTTGATACGATCAAACGCATCGATCGTCCTCGTCAGTGACGCAACTGGGTAATTGCGATGGAAACCTTCCACATTTCATTCCGCTTTGCATATCGCACAACGAAGTAAACTCACAAGTAAATTAATGCAATTACAAGCGACAAAAAAACGATATCGTAACACAAGAAAAATGAAATTAATATTTTTTACTAATAATTTATTCCATAATAAGTAATACGTTATTATCAGCGATCTAAGTCGTGACGTAATTGAGGAGATAAATTACAGTTTTTCTTTCACGCCTGAATCATGTACACATGTGTGTATGTGCACACGTAAAATATCTCTTGCGCTCGTTTCGTAGATTTATATATTAATTAATTAATATATAAATAAAAATATGTTAAATAATTAATATATAAATCTACGAAACGAGTGCAAGAGATGTTTTTCTGTGTGCATACACATACATGCGTACATGATGAAGCAAGCGCGCGAGCACACATTACTACACGCGATATATGTTATCAATAATGAATGATCATAATTATTAGCTTGAGATATTAATAATCATAAATTGTTAAGAGCATACGTTTGATTCTCCTGTGTGTGTAAAATGTTCTATCAATTTTATATGTCTATATAAAGGTAGAGGTCATGTATTTAAAATTAATTTTAAACTCTTAAAGAACTTCATAGCTGTATTGTATGGAATTGTGCAAAATATGGTAGATACTCACATAAGATCAGCGCTTTTTTGTAAGTTACTTGAGGATATATATATCCTTGACAATATATATAAATCATTGACCTTTAAAGGGGCTGACTTTATGGGAATATTTACCAAAAATATAATTAATTAAATATTATTTTATTACTAGTATTATATATTCATATATGCTGCTATTAAAAATATATCTTATATATTATTTGTTTTTAGAATTTTGATAACATTCTTCCCAATTTAATAAATATTAATTAAGAGATTGCAATATAAAATTATTTATTAAAGATCTATAGCTTCACAAGTAATATGTGTCGTTACATATATCAAATCATTCTAGTGTGTATTAACATAAGTTCTTAATTTAATACCAATATTGTCTATAGGACAGTCTCTTATAAGCTTTTATATATATATATATATATATATTTTAAAGCTTTTGGCAATTTACCCCTAATGTTAACTTAATTGATGACAAATATAAAAAGTTTTGTTTAATTTAAATATAATTACACAAGTAAACAATTATTAATAAATTATTTTTATTTAGCTTCACCATTTGTAACTATTTGTAATTGTTCGTAATACCATTGATCATTCGTTTATAGAGAAACTAAATATCATGCAATGATATCACGCAATATCTTAATAGCTACAATTGATGTTACTAAATCAGACTAATGGAAGTGTGTAAGTGTAGTATCTCTGTGTTAAATAAAGATAAGACATTCTCGATAAATAATATCTCATAAACTTATTTAGTTCAGCATTTCTTCATATAAAAGTATATTATTATATATTATATTGTCGTACTATTAGGTTTCTATATATAAATGAATCAACAATAATAATACAAACATTTACGAATAGTTACAAATGATGACACCAAATAAAAATAATTTATCAATAATTGATTACAATAGCTGTTTATAAAAACACTAGAAAATGATCAGGAAACACTATTCTGTGAACAATGCTACCAATTTTTGTTCCATATAAGAATTTTTTTCTTATTTCACAGATATATGTTTCTTTTAGTATACATTAAGCTCTTTCCTTCTTTCCCCTCCTTCTCCCCTTCCCATTACACATTTATTTGTTTTAATTTGCAAAGAAAAATCAAAATCTATAGCAAAATAATCATTCTAGAAAGTTACTGTACTATTTCATATTGTTTATGTAAACTAGTGAAGTTTAATGATCGGATTCGTGACAAATGTTCGCGATATAAGATTTCAAACGTTTTATAAACATTTTTGTATGGACTTAAAACTGTTTATCGAGTATCAATTAGAGACTATATTAATCGTCACTGTAGGGCAACCCAATAATATTGCCAATACGTCAAGTAAAGCAGTTCCAAAATCGCATGTCGCAGTATTTGAGATCGCATGTGCCAATGTCCATCAGGAAATTAAAGAAACACTTACCCGATACCACAAGAGCTTCATTCGGACCGCAAGTATGAACGTTTCCCATCGCCAAAAATAACCTCTCTTTCTCTACTTAGGGTAAAGTAACGCACGAATGATGACGACAACAAATTGACGCGGAAAATAACGATGGCACTAAGTGTGGATATCGATAACACTGAGCGTAAACGACACGGAGTACAATGACGTAATTTAATACGAAATTATTTTAAAACGCCCGGCTAATCACTAATAATATACAATAAACCGTGTCAAATGTCAGTCGTAGGATTAAGATCGGTGAAGGCCACTGTTGGAAATTGTTTACGGCTGCTGAAAGTCCCCAAGAAACGTAAAAAGAAATCACTAAATTCCAAACGTACTGGAAAATCATAGAGTTTGCATACCTAGAAATGTGCTCTCTGCATACTTCTCCTTTCTATTCTTTATTGCAAAAAAAGTGTAGCAAGTGTATCCTCTAGCTAGAGAGAAGCCTAAATTCTATACTGAAATAACTAGTGCTAGTGCAGTTCTAGAACAGTTATAAACAATGGCCGCGTTCAGCAGAGAAAACCGCTTAGTAGCAATCGAATGTGATTGGTTCTTACTTTTAGAACCAACGAATCAACGTCAAGTGTTGACAAGACGATAACTGAGCGCTTTCTCTGCTGAACGCGGCCAATTAACACATCTAAGGAATCAGCTGTCTAATAGTAATACATATGGCAGCAACTGTCAAGAATCGTAGTATGTTGAATGATGTACCGAAAAGATTATCAAGAAGTTCTGAAAGTACAGAGGTATGCAACCCAAAATATATATATATATATATATATATATATATATATATATATATCTACTTAATTAATTAAGTGCTACGAAAATTTATATATACTCTAGAAATTTGATATATTAAAATTAAAATATTAAATTTATTTATTCACAGCTACATATTGTATACATTGAATAGATATATTTTTCTGTATCGTTTTATATTTATTGTATAGCTTTCGTTATTGAATACGTTTATTTGACACCTTTTTGAGTGTAGAATAAAGGATATATGTATACATATTTATTTACTGATAATATTACAAGTGTGTATGAATGAACGGGTATGCGTGCGCGCATCGTAATCGTTAAGAAATTGTAAATATTATATAGGAAAATATTTAATTATATAATTTGTTTGTTTTTAATTTATAAACTTTCTTCCACTTGCCAAATAACAATAAAAAAAAAAAACAATAATTTTGTGCATATTAACAAAATATTTTAGGTATTATTTGATAAAATTATCATTTATAAAATTGAATAGTTTGGTTGAAATGTTTCTAGAAGTTGAATTATACTCATTTGAATGTTCAGTAATGCATCTCTCTCTCTCTCTCTCTTCAGGCCGATGTACGCGAAGATGAGGAACAAACCACTAAATTTCAAGAGATTATTGACTTACTCATTGCAGCAGGTTATTTTAGAGCACGGATAAAAGGTTTATCAAATTTTGATAAGGTTTGTGAATTATTTTTAATTTTATTTTTACTTTATATATAGTTTTATAAATAATATATTGGAATAGGTTATCGGTGGAATGACTTGGTGTATCAAATCATGCAACTTTGATGTAGATGTGGATTTACTTTTCCAAGAGAATCTTACCATCGGTCAAAAAATGTATGTATATTTTATATATATTTAAAAATTTTAATTTTTATTAATTTTTATTGATGCATGAGAGTTATAAAATCGCATCTTTTAAAATATAGAAATTCTCTTTAAAAATAACTTCTATATGTTTCATAAAATGTGTTGCAGTTCCTTAACAGAGAAAATTGTAGCCATGCTTCCTAAAATGAACTGTCCATACCGAATAGAGCCACATCAAATACAAGGTTTAGATTGTATTCATATATTCCCAGTTATTCAATGGTTAGTGAAACGTTCTATGGAAATGCGGCAAGAAATGGCAGGTTTTGTGAGAAGTTTTGCATTGAATCAATTTAATAAGAAGCATTCGTTTAGCGAGCATGTCGAAAATGGAGCGACAACTAACAAAACTGTTATTAAAAATTTACATTTGATCAAGGTGTGATTTATTTCTAGAGAAACATACAGATATATGGCTAATACATATATATCTGCAATTTTATATTTCTTTGAGAAATATATTTTAGATATATAGTTAATATAATTTTACATTTATGATAGAAAGCCTATGAACCACGACGTTTATTCAAACAAAAAGAAGGTTTTATCAAAGATGAATCAAGCAGATTTATTGGAACAGTACTGGAATATGAAGCACCCTTTGATGCTATTAAAACTACATCAGTATTGACAAAATCTAAAAGCAACAATTCAAAACACGAATTGAATAATGATAAAAATGGAAAAGTATGAATCATTTTTATTATTTTTAGATTTATCAATTTATTAGTATTATTAGAAAGATTGATATAATAGTTAATATTTTTATAGAACACTACTGAACATATTACTGCTGCTTTAGCCATCATAGAAGAAAATTCGGTATGTAGAATTAAAAAAATATATAATAGAAGTTTTAAGCTTGTTTTAAATAACAATTTCTTTTGGATAAATTTTAATATGAAGAAATTTTTAGGTTAAAAACTTTTTACTAACAATAAATGCACAATATATATATGCTTATATTTCTTATACATAGCATAAGCTTGAAAAAAAAATTA